GATTGTTCTTTTAGTCTCCCTACGGGCCGTTTGATATTTTTCTCAGTTCTTTAAGCCATTACATTTAAACTAATTTTTATAACATAACTTCTTATATTTTATCTTTTCTTGCACATTATTATTCCACCACCAACTATTTTTATTTATAAAAACTTTTTCTTTTGATTCTCCAAGCACATATTTTGATACTTGTTTAAAAGTGTTTGTTACTTTATCCCACATAACATTTGCTTCTTCATGAATAACCCAAATTTTAAAATCTTGAATTTTACTCATAAAAATAATTTTATTTGTGTCTTTTAAGTTTTTCCATCTAATTCTACGATAATGAGTCATAGTATTTTTTTTATTTTACAACTCTTAATCTTAAAATCTAAAACTAATAAACAATGTTGGGTACTTAAATTTTCACTTGGAATGACCTTACAATCTTTACAATCTTCTTCTCATAAGAAAATAATCAAATTGTGTTTTATTAGATCCACTCTTATAAGTAATTAGTTGTTCATCTCTTTTCTTAAATAAAGTATTAGTAATACTAAAATCATACGCTGAAACAAAATAAAAAATAGCTCTACCTTCTTCATTAGCTACTCTAAAACCGTAGCCACCATGAATATTTTTGAAATCTTCTACCACTCTACCGACATGTCCATTTAAATCTCCTCCAATAAAAATTCTTTCTTCAAGAGGTATCATTTGTATTAAGTCTTCTAAGTCATTCCAAAATTTATCTTTAGACCCTGTATCTAAACCTACTTGAGGAGAATAAACGCTTATAATATTAAAAATCTTAGTATCAATGATAATCTTAAGGGCTATAATTCTATCACCAACTCTATTAATTTTTACAACATTATCTTTCAAACTCTTATCTATAATTACACCTACACCATTTCTAGTGCGACTCTTACCAGAATACCAAAGTTTAAAACCTAAATTATCAATCTCCTTAGCCTTTTCTCCCACCCACTTAGTTTCTTGAATACATAAGATATTAATTTTCATATGAATCATAATATCAACTAATTCCATTAATTTACCATTGAGAGTATCTATATTCCACAATTCCACGATCATATCCTAATATTAGTTTCATTAGTTTCATGGACTAATTTATTTACCCGCATTAATATCCTAACATTATTTATAACTAATTCCGTCAATTTTGACATCATTAAGGCACTCAAATGTTCAATAAACTTCGTATGATCAAAGGAAGCTCTCTGGATCTTCTGATCAAAATGATTCATATTTCTGCATTAATTGCACCCAGAACAGTACAAATAAAGTCACATCCCTCTCATGAGGGGGGTTGAAATCTGGAGAGGGAGCCTGAGACCTTTAGGAAAAATTGTAGTTCAGCATCACCGTCAATCATCGCCGAACACTGCCGACCTCCATCGTCGACCAGCGCCAAACTCCGTCGCCGATCGCAGTCGACCATCGCCAACCCCAAATACAATCACCGATCATCGTCAACCTCCGCCAACCATCATCGCTTGCAGTCAACGTCGTAATCTGAAAAATATAGTTACCCTTTCCCGTCTATGAGATAAGAGATTTCTGTAATCATCAATTAATAGTGAATTTTCGCAACTTGGCCAAACCCCGTGTTTTTCCCCTTTACGGGCTTTCCACGTAAAAACTTTTGGAGTTGTCACTATTTTTTTTCTTTTTCATTTAAAAGTTTACAGAATTCTTGTACAACGCTAAGACGATAATTCGATACTCTACCGTCGTTAATTTTCTGGCACGCATCAATTAGCAATGCAAATTCTGAATTTGCATTAATTTACAAATTGCCATGAATTTTGACATCATTAAGGCACTCAAATGTTCAGTAAACTTCGTATGATCAAAGGAAGCTCTCCGGATCCTCCGATCAAAATGATTCATATTTCTGCATTAATTGCACCCAAAACAGTACAAATAAAGTCACATCCCTCTCATAAGGGGGGGTTGAAGCTGGAGAGGGAGCCTGAGACCTTTAGGAAAAATTGTAGTTCAGCATCACCGTCAATCATTGTCGAACATTGCCGACCTCCATCGTCGACCAACGCAAAACTCCGTCGTCGATCGCAGTCGACCATCGCCAACCCCAAATACAATCACTGATCATCGTCAACCTCCGCCAACCATCATCGATCACCACCATCCAAACGTTTTCAGTCAACTTCGT